TGTGCCATATCCTGCAAACACACTATCTCAGTGAATCCTAGAAACGATTTACTATGATTATCCTCACTTTACACTGAAAGGAATAGAGGCTTACCTCTGCTAAGTGGTAAGTACGTGGTAGGGTTCAGACTCAAACCCAGACTGACTGCAGTCCGACGCTCTTAACCGATGCCCTACATACACTGGACTCTTCAAAGTCCCACTGAAAAGAAGCATGAATTCTGTACACTCAATTTCTTACTAAGTGAGCTCATTCTTGCATCATGGAGGTCTAGTGAGTGAGTAGCTGTTGGTCGAGCGGTGTTTTGTGCACCTAAAGGTTGCTAGTTCAATTCCCAATCAGGGCACACACCTGGGTTTTGGGTTTGATCTCCAGGAAGGCAGCCAATGGATGCTTCTATCTCATCTCTCATCTCTCTCTCTCTCTCTCTCTCTCTCTCTCTCTCTCATTCATTCTCTCTCTCTCTCTCTCTCTCTCTCTCTCTCTCTCTCTCTTTCTTTCTCTCTCTCTCTCAGCATGTCCTTGGGTGAGGATTTCTTTTTCATATATAAAAAAAGATTTATATATATACACATATATATATTTGGTCTTTGTCCCCAGTTTCAGTTAAAGCTCCTAAAATCCTTGGACTTTCTTACTCATAGGAGTTCATCAGGACCACATGGAGCTGCTGCTAACATGTGACTCAGGGTGGTGGGCCCTTCGTTTCAGAGAGGGGCTGGCCACACCAGAAGGAGCAGGCACAGGATTAAAAGGTAGAAACTTTCAGTGCCACCTCCAGACCACAGGGGAGGGAAAGGTGGCTGGAGTTCAATAACCAGTTGCCAATGAATTAATCAACTATGCCTTCATACAGGAACTCAATGAAGCTGAACAAGGCTAGGGAGCTTTAAGGCCGGTGAACCATCCAGGTGCTGGGAGGCCAGCATGCCCAAAAGTGACCCGGAAGCTCTGTGCCCACAATCCCTACCCTGCCCTGCGCATCTCTCCCATTTGGCTGCTCCTGAGTTGTATACTTGAGAATGGAGCTGTAATCCTGCATATCATGCTGTCCTGAGTTGTAACACATGTTCTGGCAAATTATGCCCACACCCCCTGGGGTGGGGGAGGGTCATGGGAACCTTGCAGTCTGCAGGCAGTAGTGCAGGTAGCTTGGGGCTCCCCAATCCTGGCTTGTCTCTGAAGTGGGGCAACCCTGTGAGACTGAGTCATTAACTTGTGGTGTCAGCACTAACTCTAGGCAGTTCATGTCAGAACTGAACTGAACTGAATTACTGGACACTCAGCTGTGTCAGAGAATTGTTGGAATGACATAGTTAATAACCTCAAAGAAAGAGGTCCACATTAAAACCAACTTAACCAATGCCTTAGAAGTCACTTCCCTGCTTGGTTTAATCATTAGGTCTACCACTCTCACTGATTCAGAGCCCTGCGTGCCAGTTTCGGCACTTGCAGAACTCTGGCCTGATGGACATATCCACAGTACCTGTTAAAATAACGTTTCTTTTAAAAGAAGACCAAAGAACTAATTTCGCCTGCTAAAGAGAACATGGGATGCTGTAGAGTGTGAAGCTAGTATGGGTTTTGTTTAGTTGATCATTTTAGCTGTGATTTATTTCACATTTATTATAGCTCTCGTGAGAGAATTGTGTGCCACCTCAACAGTTTACATGTAACTGTTCCCTGTGGATAGCAGGCATTATGAGATGACAAGACACGACCTGAGCATGAACTGAGGCAAATATGAACGGACTGACTCAAACTCGAATGGACCAGGGATATGACTTACCCTCGCTTACTAACTTCTGTCAAAAATCAAGTCAAAGGAGACAGATCTCTAAAGAGTTAGGCCAGTACTCCATAAGCTGTCAAGTGGGACTAGCTAGTTGATCTTAGTGACCAATCTGGTTAAAACAGCCTCTGTGTCCTGCAGGCATCCCTTCCCATCAGGAACACAAACTCCAGGCCCAGAAGAGCAGCTGCGGTCAGGGCCCTGATTACCCAGCACCACAGGCCCGCAGCTCCCTCCTCAAAAGGTATTCCCGCGCTGGGCCACCTTCTGGGCCTACTCCTTCCCCATCACTCTCCCCGCAGCAGGGGCCACTGTGAGCACTCTCCATCCACTTCCCACTGGGCCCCGGGTAGTGCTCTTCACCCTATTCCAGTCCACAACACTCCTCCTCCCCACAGAACCCCCTACTCACAGCCTCTAGAAAGGTCTTCAGACTATTCTCGTTCAGTGTTAGGAAACCCACAGCAAAATTCTCCTTACCACAGGCATTAGTTACAACCAACTGTTTCAAGTAAATGACTAGACAAGGGACTAGTTATTTCAAAGAAAAACTGATTAGGAGAAAAAAGAACCATGGAAATATTCTTTAAAATAGACAAAGAATAGTCACTCTTGCATTCCACTCATCTAGAAAAAGAAAGTGTCGCAGCTGGGAAATGCCTCCACTGAGGATCCGGGCTCCTAGCATGTCCTGATCCTGCGACTCCTGTCTACAGAGCAGCCACTAGGCCAGCCGTGGGCAAACTACGGCCCGCGGGCGTTGGAAATGAATAAAACTAAAAAAAAAAAAAAAAAAAAAGACCGTACCCTTTTATGTAATGATGTTTACTTTGAATTTATATTAGTTCACACAAACACTCCATCCATGCTTTTGTTCCGACCCTCCGGTCCAGTTGTGGCCCTCGAGTCAAAAAGTTTGCCCACCCCAGCACTAGGCAGTCATTAAGTAGAGACAAAGCAAGTATTCAACAGAAAATAAATTTGCTTCAGATTTTAAAAAAGGAGGTGGCCATTGGAGTTATTTCCACAGGGTTTCCCTGCTCAGATTCCAGGGAAGGTCACTGGAAGAGGAAGTATTCAACTTGGCATTTTGAAAGGTATTCTGCACAGCAAGCCCCGCCAGGATAGCTGCAGAAGTTGGACTGATAAAGACTCAACTCCTATTTGAAGTCCCCTGTCCCTTTCAGCCAGGGCCTGCCGAGGAAGGCCAGCTGCTGGCCAGTCTCACCACCCTACAGCCTCACGTGGCACAGGCTGGAGGCGGTGCAGGGAGTCTTCTCCAAAAGAACAGTAGTTTGTGACAAAACGTTAGCGTAAAGAACCACGATTACAGGCCAACCCCAAGGGTTCAATCAAACTCAAACTGAGTGCCAGCAGCGATGTGGGCGAGGCAGCGTAAATGAGAAACCAAGTAACGCAGGGGCCCGATTCTAGTCCTGTGGCTGCCAGTTTCTTGCTGTGCAACTTAAAAAGCAAGTTTACTAACCTTTCTAGATTTCCATTTCCCTATTAACACATTTCGTACCGCTCAGGAGTTTTCTCGTGTTTTGCGCGCCATCTGTTAAGGACCGCTCACGAGTGTTCTCTTTTTTCACGCCCATGGAAAAAGGAGCAAATCTAGATACTTATGTAAATTTTGTTTGGTCCCTCTTCATAGAGGAAAATGTTTTACACAGTACCATACGTTAAAAAAGTACTAGGAACTTTGTTTAATTGTTTTTGTAAATAAAAATGTTATAATTATTGAAAAACAACACCTAAAGTGCATTATGATGATTTAAATAACGTGCAGTTTGCCCAAAAATGTTCGGTCTCTGGCGTATGTCTTAGAGATTTCTATACGGTATGCAATGTGTTAAATCAATGCTTTCAACCTGTTTTCAGTCTCAAAATACTGACATCTTAAGGGAAAAACCACTATAACAGAATATAAAGTAACTTTCACAGAGTAAAGCAAAATGTGATGTAATGGAAGGAAGACATCAAGCCCCCTTTCCCTACATACTCTAGCAATGACCCCTGAGAGGGGTCCCCATAGCCCAGTTTGAAAAAATAACACACTGGATATATTCTAAGATTCTTGGAGGGTCTTTCTCTGCTTCTTCCTAAACTGGAAGGAGAGGTGTTAACTGCATTCATTATACTTCAGTCTTGTTCAGAATCAAAATTATGGGTCACACACCAACCCACTTTAGGCGAACACTGCAGAGTCTAAACCAGGGGTGGGCAAACTTTTTGACTCGAGGGCCACAATGGGTTCTTAAACTGGACCGGAGGGCCGGAACAAAAGCATGGATGGAGTGTTTGTGTGAACTAATATAAATTCAAAGTAAACATCATTACATAAAAGGGTATGGTCTTTTTCTTTAGTTTTATTCATTTCCAACGCGGGCCATAGTTTGCCCACGGCTGGAAACCCTTCACCAACCAACAAGAGCTAAAAGCTATACCTACACGTTGCTGTCTTGAGAGAATGGATAAGGAGGCAAGTCTTTCTGACAGTCTCCTAGACTGAGGAAAGATTGGGGCAATGGCTACAAAAAAGTGCTAAACATCTTCAAAAATAAGAAGTCCTACCCTGTGCAGTGTTGCTATAAGATCCTTGTCAGCTGTCATCACATCTGGTCGCGATCTACAGGCCTCAGTGACCGAATGATTTCCAGTCTCCAGGTCCTGGGGCTGAGCCCTCCAGCAGAGCAGGGCAGAACAGGAAATGGAAGAGGCTTCCCCAAACTGCAACCCAGGCTTCCATGCTGCAACCCAGCCCAAACCCAACAATCCAGCCCAGCTCACAGGACATCCAGAGCAGGCCCAGCCCTCAGGACATCAGGGGCGTCATCAGCTCCCGGCCTGCCACGGCCCTGCAGTCAGGTGAGTGGGGTGCTGGCCATAGGTGGCTTGTTTTGCCACAACAAAAGCAAATCATCACTCAAGACTGACTCACTGAGCTTACCTATTCTGATGTATGGGATTGCAGTAAGGTCTCATTTGCAACATTTTAAAGATGATTTGGCACTTTGCCCCTCCCATTTTCTACTTTCAACATCACAACTTCCAAGAATTAGAGTTTGAGCCACTTCCAACTTTTTCTCTTGTTATTTCATTAAATTAATGTTAAATTCTACTTTTTAGTCATTCGTTAGTTAAATGGTCAGTGTGGTGGTAATCTCCTTGTTCCCCAAAAGAAATAAGACCCTCCTCCATTACCTAGAAAAACAGACACAGAACTAGTGAAACTTGATTTGAATTCAAAGGCACTAACTCAATTAAAATCCAGTTCTACTGTGCAGCAGCTTCAGGACATGCAGGAAAAATTGACCAGGTTCACTGGTATCAACATCTGTAAACAGACACAAAAGGCCAGTGTAAGTTATCAAGAGCTGGGGACAGAGGGGTTAACGTGTAATTACCATGGTTTCCATCTGAGTAACCCCTCTCCCCTCACACCAACTGGTGGCAGCCAGTGTGCAGTGAGCTGTCCACACCGTGGCACAGCTACCACAATAGCAGCAGAGCCCGAGGAACTTCAGACCTCCAATGCCACGCAAATACCCACACTCCAAGTGGCATCTGCTGGCCTGCTTTTCAGCAGTTTGTCCAAAAGCCCCCAAAGTGTAAGAAACAAATTCACTGGTAACCTAGATTAGCCAGCCCGGCTCCGAGGTTCTAAGTTCCTTTAGATTTGTGGAGTCTTTCTCAAAGCACAGTTAGTGGCCAATGTAGGAAGCAATGGAGTCTCCAGCATTCAAGTCCCTTCCTACCCATCCTCCCCCTTCAGAAATTAGAAAAGAGCCACCAGTCTCCAACTGGCTGATGACACCTCGCCTGCAGGATATCTTCACACTCGAGTGATAATAAACCATTGCAATGAAGATGAACAGAGGACAGTCTAATCATCTATTGGCTAGAGCAGTGGTTCTCAACCTGTGGGTCGCGACCCCTTTGGGGGTCGAACGACCCTTTCATAGGGGTCGCCTAAGGCCATCAGAAAACACATATTGTTTTTGTGATTAATCACTATGCTTTAATTATGTTCAATTTGTAACAATGAAATTGGGGGTCACCACAACATGAGGAACTGTATTAAAGGGTCGTGGCATTAGGAAGGTTGAGAACCACTGGGCTAGAACATTTGTAGTCCAGCATTAGGACACAAAGTCAAAAATTCTGTAACCCCGGCCAAAGCCAAATTATCTATGTATGAGAATCACAAAGGCATTCTCCTTTCCTCTGAGCTACTCTGCAGGACAGAGGGGGGATCTATTGTTTGCCTCACTCCAACTGTGCACTCTAGTCGCTTGCTGGCTAACTAAGACTTTCTTTTTGCCTTCAAATTGGAATTTAGTAATTCAGTACCAGGCTCTATTCCAGTGATGGCAAACCTATGACACGCGTGTCAGAGGTGACACGCGAACTCATTTTTTTGGTTGATTTTTCTTTGTTAAATGGCATTTAAATATATGAAATAAATATCAAAAATATAAGTCTTTGTTTTACTATGGTTGCAAATATCAAAAAATTTCTATATGTGACACGGCACCAGAGTTAAGTTAGGGTTTTTCAAAATGCTGACACACCGAGCTCAAAAGGTTCGCCATCACTGCTCTATTCCATCCCCTTCAGGAACCCCAAGACTGCCCACGAATCTCTATTCAAGTTCTGACAGTCCACCTACCCATGCTACTAAAGTACTAGAACAGGGGTGGGCAACCCCTGGCACGCGTGCCAAACATGGCACGCCAGTAACTTTTGCTGGCAGGCGAAACCCTCTCTTATAATCTTCCATTTACAATTTTTTTTCTTATATATCGACTTTTTTTTCAGATAAATTCAGTGTAGGTGCATCTTAGATAAATAAATAATTTTACATAACAAGTTATCTTAAAGACCATAGACATAGATTGATGAGAGAGGGGAAGAGCAATTTCAATAGTGTCGAAAACCAACTATTGAGGACTTGGAATGCCATTCCAGAAAATATTTTCTGTTTAAAAAACTTTGCAACAGCATTACTCTCCATGTTTTCATCCACATATGCTTGTGAATCTTTGTTCTCAGTGATGAATTTTGTTAACTCTCATAATAGGAGTAGCCTGACAGATGAAAGTAATAGCTCATGCATATCTCTGAAGGTCACGAAATATAAACCTGATGTAAAATCTCTGTCATCAGTGATGCAGCAGCAAAAGTCCCACTGATAATATCAAACGGAGTCATAAAGTTTTCTGTCGGACTATCAGTGTACATGTATACATTAAAAAATAAATGTATTTTTCATCATCATATACTGTGTTTTTGTCGCTCGAATGAATTTTATTATTTCTTCAAGGTTCTTCACATACGTACACCTTAAGAGATATCAAGCAGGTGTAACATGTTCTCAAAAAATTAGGGTTGGCATGCAGAAGAATTCTGAGTCAGAGATTTTGCTGGTTTTGGCACGCACTCACAAAAAGGTTGCCCACCCCTGTACTAGAACCTACAACAGGCAACGAGTCCTCAATTTCTGACTCATTTTCCCTAAACACTGAATGATTTCATTTCTAATACTGACTTTACTACAAATAGATCAAACAACGTGTAAGCCTTTCAACTGCTTGGCTCAAAGAACCAATTCACCCAAAGAACACACCAGTCACTGTTGTGGGCTTCAAAAGAAGAAAATGGCATCTTCTTTACTGTAGGTCACTGCAACACGGCTCAGGAGGGCCAAGGCCAAGAGGGCCTTTCAAGTGGACAATCTGGTCAAGGTGAGGCTGGAAGTAGCTGACCATTGGAAATGAATGGCCCCAACAAGAGGCAAAAGGCAGTTGCATCCCTCGGTTACATGGCAGTCTGAAGATGCAGACATGGTGGGACTGGGCCCACAATGGTCATTTATCTAATATGATGCACTGAGTGAACTTTTAGCACCAACCCACATCTCAGCTGAGTGTTATTAGTCACTAGGCAGACTAGACATGAGTGAGTAGAAATATTGTAACATAAAACCCACCTCCTTACAAAAACTTTAAACTTAGATCTTGATGGTCATCTTTATAGACCAACGGGGGCATATTATTATCATTTGCCCACCCTTCAACCCTAAATTCATGCACAGGAGCAAAGGAGGATTCATATACTGAAACACATTTGGGGTCCTTGTTACACAATTTTAAATAGTAGCATATCCGAGTCCTGTAAGGAAAAAGGTATGCACTCAATTATGAACACAGAGGTTGAGATTTACCTGCCAGAAAAGACCCATATGACCACAGCCACCTCCTTTCCCATTCTCAGCTGGGTGACTTTTTTATTTAAATTACAATAGCCCATCAGTAGCTACAAAACAGTAAGTGTAAGACTCTAGGAAAGGCCATAGAATGGATCAAAAGGAGCATCCGCCTTGTTCTTATCTGCCTACCCACTGTGAGCCCAGCCTCCTCCTCTCCCACAGGGGCTCTTTCCCTTCTCTTCCCTCACTGGGCTCTGGGTAATTGCTGCCCCTTCCCTTGTTTCCCTACCTTCACACCCTCTCCACCTCACCTTTCCTTCCCATTTCCCAGAACTTGCCATAGTCACTCCTGCTAGTTCCTGCACTAACCACCTAATCCCAGAGTCCAGAAGGCTCCTGCCCTCTTTGCAGCGCTGACTACTTTTTAGTTAAAGCTCAACTCAGTGTCACCTCCTCAGAAAGGTGTTCCTTGACGGCCTGCCAATCACTGTCTGTCCCATCACTCTCGTTTTCTTTTTTCTTTTTTTTTAAAATATATTTCTTTATTGATTTCAGAGAGGCAGGGAGAGGGGGGAGAGAGAAACATCAATGATGAGAGAGAATCATTGATCGGCTGTCTCCTGCACGCCCCCTACTGGGGATTGAGCCCGAAACCCAGGCATGTGCCCTGACCAGAATCGAACCTGGTACCCTTCAGTACACAGGCTGACGCTCTATCCACTGAGCCAAGCCGGCTAGGGCCCATCACTCTCGTTTTCTTTGGCACTCATCAAAACCTGACTTATATGTTTGTTTAGGATGTGTTCCCACCTGGAACCTGATGTAAGCTTCCTAAGAGTGGACATTATGCTTGTGTTCATCTTTGAATGCCCAGGGCCCAAAACACCAGCTAAGCACTTAGCCATTCACAAATGCTTCTTGAATGAATGAATTTTGGAACAATTAAGGTGAGAGCAGCAGCCATTCTTTTGTTGCATTTCTGTGAAACACCTAAACATGATGTTACTTGTAAAATCAAAGCATTATATTGTTTTATCAGACCCGGATGAGTAGGTTAACAGTTCTCCCAGCAATATGCACACACAGGGCCAGGATTTATGCTCTCTTTAACGTAAGGATCCCCAAAATTAGACACTATCTCTCAAAGTTCTTCAGAAAACAGTTCCAGATCCAACAGAGGATTTCCAAAGAAAATATCAACAACAAAATAGGATTCATCACATGTCACTGTGAAATCCCCGTGACAGGCTGAAGGAGCACATTTCTTGGTTGTTGTTGTTTTTTTTTTTAAACTAACTGGACAATAAAGAGACCTTCTTCCCAATCATTCTTTGCTTTCTTCAAATAATTTTTTCACATCTGTTATCGGTTTGTGCTCTTCCTTAAAGCAAAACTAAACAGGTCACATTTTCTCATTTAAAAACACCTATACAAAAAAGAATCAGCTAAGTAAGATGGAAATCAGCACAAGCCCAATGTGTCACTGAAAACTTGTGGGCCAGACACACAAATAGAGGGGGGCGGGGGCGGGGGCGGGGGCGCTACTGTCCAAGCGTAGAAAAAGTAAAATTGGGTTTTCTGTTCTCTGAGATGCATCACGAAGTGTGGGCGGAGAGAAACACAGAAATCCAGAATTAGCCGAACATCAAATCATTTTGGGAAGAGTTGACACCATGCACATTCCTCACCCGGAAAGTATTCGGAGCAGGAGACCTGATTCCTGGGCTATGATGCCATTCAGGAATCCTCGCAAGGGCTCTGGGTTCCAGCATTCACGGGGGAAGGTTCATCTGACTCGGGGCTCCCGGGCTCCGATTATTTACAAAGCTTGCATTTAATCGAAGATCTGGATGGAGGCTGAAAGCCAAATTCAAAAGAGGGGGCCAAGGTGCCGAGTTCCATAAAGAAACACACACCCGATCACCACCTCACCCCAGAGAATTACAGTGGAGACCAGGGTGCGCGGGGGACGGGAGGATAGGGGTGCGGGGCGGTGGGAAAAGCAACACCTGTGTCACCTCGTCCCGCTTCCCACTCAGGACAGGCAACGCCTCCAGCCCCCCCGCCTCGGGCACCCACGGCGATCGCCACGGCCCAGGTGCAGAGGAAGGGCAGGCCTTCGGGTCGGAGC